ACTGCACTAAATGGGTAATGAACAACCCTCATCCCATTACGTCTTCCCACTAGCTGCAAGCAATATGGGAAGCTAAAGCTTCAGAAGGTCCTTTTGGATTTTGGGGCCCTGCTGTTGGCCTGAAACTCGTCCTGCTCTTTCAAAAACATTAAATACATTAGGACAGCTGTGATGGTTGATGCCAAAAGTCCACCTCATCCCACATCCTGTCCCTAGCCAGCACAGATGCTTGGGCAGAGAGTATAAGAACTGAGCGAACGCAGAGTGATTTTTCCCTATAGCATGTAGTGATATTTCCTCCCAGCTTCCAGCCATCCGCAGCTTTGAGACTTCCTAAAAAAAGGCTGTATTTTTGTACCTAACAGCCCTCCTTGGGGCTTTTTTTTTCCCCATGCAATTCTCTAATTGAGCTTTTAAACCGCTTATGCCTGCAGTAGGTAAAAGTAGTTTCTATCACTCCCCATTGCCCAGGAGTCCCTTTGCCAGTTCTTCTGAGGTTTATAATGTCTCGTTCTTCCCTAAGTAGTTGGTTTTTCCCTCTCCTCACCTTGCTGCATGCCAGGGCAACACTAAAGGCAGAAGTCGACCAAGGTCTCTTCTGTACAAACCTCTGAGCCCATCAGTTATCTACTAGAGCTCAGAAAGGTTGCTCAGTTGCAAGGACACTCACGCACCTCAGCGAGGCTTAGTGTTTAAGCATAATACATATGACAATATTAGGTCAGCTGCATGCGGTCGCACAAAAAGGCCATCTCCTGCAGGAGTTTCTCCCTCTCTGTGGTCAGTAACCGGTATCTAGGAAGAAAATAAAAAGCAAAGAGGCTGGTGACGTTTTCTTAGAGACACCCTCTCCCAAAACTGCCACATTTGTCAATGTCTGAGGTCCAGTCAACTCTCCATCATACCCTAGGGCTATGTCCAGTGCGCAAGATACATTGGGAAAAATGGTAAAGGTGAGATTTTTCTTCCATGAAAAAAACAAAAGATCAGTTTTTCCTAGAGCACTTTGATATGAAAGAAAACAAAATCCTCTCTTGGGAGCTTCCATCCATCACAAAGCAGCAGTGACTTCAGTATTCCTGGAAAACCTTAGGTACAGCGAGCTGACTTCAGTATGCTCTTATCAGCCTCAGTTGTGAGCCCATCCACCATCAGAAACAGGGCAGCTGAAGGAGCCTTTTGATCACAGCAGCGCACACATGCACAATCCTACCCTGGCGTAAAGGATGACCTGAACTGCCTCAGCCAGATGCCTGGCCAGATGTCAGGATGAGTACCGACAGCAATGCCTCACAGATAGCAGAGAGATGTTTGCACCGGGATTTGGCAACAGTGGGTTCTGGGCTCTGACCTGCAGCAGCCCCTTTTCCTGCAAAGCCAGCGTGCAAAGCGGAGGAAACTTGCTCTCGGTTGAGCACATCCCGACTTCATGCTGCCCAGCCTACAAACCCAGTGGAAGCAATTCTTCAAAGGCATCAGGAACGGCAGTGGTGATTCAACACCAGGTGCTTGCCAGGAAGGAGCGTGCCGACCCGGGCACTCGGGCAGGATCGGTGCTGCAGGCATGACCAGGGGAACAAGCCTCCTGGCAGTCCCCAACACGTCGGTTAACAAAGCAGAAACGAAGCCAAGACTTTGTGTTTCAGTGAGGAACCGACCATGGGAAAAAGGAACAGCACATCAATCTCCTTCCTCTGCTTCATGCAGGTTTCATGCATTTCAGTGGTTGAAAATACACCAGCCTTACGACCCAGGAGACAGGCGGCATGGGCGGGCATCCCAGTATGTCACCGTGGTGTGCTCGCTCCACTCAGCTTCCACAAAAACAGATGCAACGGTGACAGTTTACAAACCTTGGTCCCGAGTGAAGCTCCTTCTCCAGAGCGGTTTCATAGCAGGACCCAGGGATGCCCAGAGCTCTAGGTGCTGCTCCTCACTCGCTGTGGGCATGAACAACCTCAAACCTTGCGTGTCTCGGGCCCCACCACTAAGGACAGGACCCAGGGAGGGGATGACGAGACCCTTGGTGCCAAGAGGGAACCGGCTTTGCTCTTCCAGAAATGCTCTCAGGCTGCCCCAAGGCACGCATGGCAAAACCTGCAGCAGCTGAAACACGATGTCACCGGTCTTGGTGTCCCCCCAGGTGTCCCCAGCCCAGCTGTGCTCCTCCTGCTCTTCACCCTACTTTTGGGGCCAGGCACAAGCCTGCCCATGCCCCGCGGGGCCACAGCAAGAGGCTTCCGTGCTGCCAGGAAGCAGGAACCCACCATCGCACCCTTCCACCCAGCCCAGCATCCAAGGGGCAGGGCAGGGCAGGGCAAAATCTGTATTTTTTAACCAGAGGCATCAGGAACGCAGCCCCAGGCTGGCAGTGCTGCCTCCTCCCTGCCAGGTATCATCCACAGCCAGGGACTGCCCTCCAGCCTCCCCGAGCAGGCAGCAGAGGCAAATGCGTACACAGGTCAGAATTTATTTCCAAATACCTCATTTATATCATTATCACATGAAATAATTCTTTCGGAATATAGCCTACACTTAGAAAACAGAAGAGAGGTTTTTTTTTTTTTATAAGGCACATCAGATTATAGACTACATAGAGGCATCTCCTCCTCACTTGCGCTTGTAAAATACTGGTGATTTTAAAAGTAATATTTCTAAAACCTAGACCCTGTGTAGCCCCGTGTAGAGCAGTATTCGTAAAGTTATTAGACCTCAGTTTACACACACCTAGTAAAGGGCTATAACAAGTTGTATATACATCACATTTTCAGAAACAGTCACAGCTGGCTATTTTTAAAAGTAATGCTACTCCAGACTATGAAACAGGCTGCTTATAAAATATAACCTGCTGCTTCCAGTATGGCGTGATACTAAGCAGTATGATCTTGCAGAAGAAATTTTGTTATTTTTGCAAATGGAAGCTGCTCAGAGTCAAGCCTGTCTCCTCCCCAAACCCACATTTTTGATCAACTGAGACCGTTTTACAGAGAAGCAAAGCACCCAAGAGAAATCTGGCTTTATGTTCTTGTCAAAGCATTCGAGTAAGAAATATAAAGGCTCAGATGTTAACTTCATGATCAGTAAACATTAAACCATTACCAACCAGATGCAACCAAGTTAAATGCATCCAGCTTCTGTGATATGGAAACTGTTTTTCCAGGCTGTTCCAGTGAAGAAGCCAACACATTTTTATTGAATCAGGCCCTAGGTAAAGATTTCCATCTCATTTTCAAGTTTTCGGCGATGGAACGTTACCCGTTCTGCACTCATTTCACTATAAAGGAGATAAAAATACTGCCTGTGGAGCCTATGCCAATACAGCCCAGAATCCATTTACATAGTGTCATTTTCTTTAATGGGCCAGGAGGTAAACTGTGATCAGCTTTATCAACTCAAATGGCTTCCACAGTTCTTCTTTGTATCAGGCATTGATTCATTTCTGATGAAAAAAGGGTTCCGGCTTTCTGTCACTGCATTTTAGTTTAAGACTATGAAAAAGGTCACTTCAAGGCTATGGCCAAAGGAAAAAGGAAAAAAAAGAATATAATCCGATCTTGAAATATCTAGGGAAAAAAACGTAGTCAGGGCCATAAAAAGGCAGGCAGACAGACAGACAGACAGCACAAACTAAATGTCCTCTGCAGAATAAGTTAAAATACCGATCATTGCAGAGAGTCACATTATGCCTCTGGTCTCTCCAACTCGCTGGGGCTGGAATTACACTTAGGTAAGATTAGGCAAGGTAGGAACCAGATTTAGTCCAAGAATAGGTCACACTCAACTCTGCACTATGTCGATCACTCAGCTACATATTAGGCACATTTCAGCTCATCTGTTGGACTGATCTGAGGAAAAAAAAAAAAAGATCAGTTAAATTTCCGGGGTGGCCTCAGCCAATTTCACGACTATGAGCTTGGACAACATTCAACCACAAGCGACTGTTGCCTTTAGAAGGGGAACATAAACTTGGCTGAAAACAGCATCATGAGGAGGACACAGCAGCCTCAGTTTCTAGACTCCAGTTTGTTATAAATCTTGATCTGCCTGATGTGTTATTTGTTTAGCGGCCTAAAAGGTAAGGAGGGGCATCCTGAAATTCTTGGCTGTAGACTTAAAACCAGATGCAGTTTACATGGTGCTGCACGCTATTTGTTACATCTCTTTAAAAAAAAAAAAAGGTATTTTAAAAAAAACAACACAACAGCATTTACATTCCTTTCAGCTGAAATAGATGAACTGTCGTCATGTCCGCAAAAATACAGAGGAAATTGCCACTGCTCGAGGTAGCGAGTTAAAGCTTGGTCATGATCCTCGGCCTTCCACGCGGCTTCCTGGGAAGGAGGACAGAAAGGACTTTCACAAAGTCAGGAGGTAAGAAATGAGATGTCAGCTCCACAAGGGATTAGGTTCCCTCACTGTGTGCTGAAGGTATATTCATGACCTTTCCAACCGTGGCGTCTGCGTATAGATTACACCTCTCGCATACCCTTTTTAAAGCGATTCCTAAGAGCATTGGCTTGGGAAGACATGGAGAAGAGAGCAAGACTGGGGTTTTAAAGCTACAAATGTCAGTTAGGAGGCACAGTGTTGTTTTTCCCTTCGATCGTCCGTGTACAGAGCTCTACATTTCCACTGTCGCAGGTTCCTCCTCCGAAGCCCTGGCAGCAAAGGCCTCTGGTGTGCTCCTCCTCGTCACAAACACCTTACAACAAGAGAAGTCAAATCCTTTGGACAACTCCTTCTACCCTCACAGACACGTGGTGCTCTTCTGCCTTAATGAGAGGTTTTAGTCACGTAACTGGATGCCAGACCTGATTTATAGTAATTATTTAACTAAGAATCCTTCTGCCACCCTCAAAAGGGCAACCGAGATATCCAGTAGCAACATATACACATACATACAGATCTACACTATACACTTGGGACGACACAGAATGAGATTTCAGCTAATATAGCTTCTATTCGATTTCCTCAGAGCAGCACTTGGGTCCTCATAACCCCTATACAAAACAGCAGTATTTTTTCCACCAGGATTTGGAGAGGTTTTTCATCTTGTCTGGAGTCCTACACTTGGATTTCTTTGGTTGCTGCTGGGTATCCGAGTACTGAATACCAGCCACGATGGCTGCATCAAAGACCTCCTTGAGGTTCTTTTGAGTCAAAGCAGAGCACTCGATGTAGGACGCAGCTTTTATTTCCTCGGCACAGAGCTTCGCAGCCTCCTCCGAGACCGGCTTTTCCTTGCACTTGTCCAGCTCGATGAGAACTTTGACATCCTCCCGGAGGTCTGACTGCGTCCCAACCAGGATAATGGGTGCCTTGGGGCAGTGGCATCGGATTTCGGGAACCCACTTCTCACTCACGTTCTGGAAGGACGAGGGGCTCACCACGCTGAAGCACAGCAGGAAGATGTCCGTGTTGGTGTAGCACAGAGGCCTGAGCTTGTCAAATTCATCCTGCATGGAAGGCAATCGCATTAGCACCCAACAGAAAGAGCACATCAGCCCTGGAGGGCGCCCCGGAGGACACCCCGACCCGCTCCCAGCTCTAGCCTGCCGCTGACCTTTGGGGTAGCTGAGGATTGCTTGCCACTGCCACCTTGAGAGGCACCTCAAGAGGAACACCCAGAACACCCAGTGAGGCGTGTGACGAGCAGAAGTCGCCCGTACCCAGCCCGAGGTCTCACGGCTGCTAGCCAGCAGGCACCCTGCCACCGTAGGGCAGGCAGGGCGAAGGGGGTGGCTTCCCCGCGTAGCTGAGATTTTCTGACTAACGCCACAGCTTGTTTCGAGTGCTCAAATATATCCTTTGCTCTTTGCAGGAAGCCCTTCTGCCCTATGCCAGCAAAGGAGCAACGCTGCGGGAAGCAGGTTACGGCATACGAGCAACGAAGCCAAAAATGAAGTACGGGAGGGAGAAGGTACTTTCTACAGGTCCACCTCTCACTGGGGTGAGTCGGTGAGTTGCTCAGAGGAGGAGCACCCACGAACAAGGAGCACCCACGAGGAGCACCCACCTACCCCAGAGCTCTCCTGATGACACCCCCAACCTCCAGGGCAGGGAGCAAGGTACCTTTCCTGGAACCATTCCTGGAATCAGCTTTTAAACTGGTGACTACTTAACAACATCCTACCGGATATGGGAATAATTTCCCAGCCATTGTGCCCAAGGATTAAAATCTGATGGCAGCAATAACGACTCACAATGTGCAGGCTTAACATGCCAATGGCATAGAGTAAGAGCTTTACCTTTCCCTCCCACCCATGCCACATCAAACAAACTGCAAACAGGCCTCCCAGCTACCTTTCTCCTGGGTTTGGTTTTTTTTTTTTTTTTCCCCTCTTTTAGTGCAAACCCCAGCAAGGCAAGGCCCTTTTTCAGCTTCAGGAAGCAGCCACAAGAAAGCCAAAAACCTCATGGTAACAAAGGCGGTGCTGATCCTAGGCAGAAGAATGCAGCAAGAGGCAAGGGTTAACTCCAGGCAGGCTGCTTTTCTGCTGACAGCAGGATAAAAGCAGGGTAACACTAGCAGCCTGAACAGGTAGGATTTGCCTCAGCGGCAGTGACATTTTAATTAAAACGGACCGTGTTTTCAAAAGCTCTCTGAATTGAAAGTGCAAAGAACACACACAGCTGAAAACATCTCTCTGGTACCAGCAGTTTACTGCTGAATTGCAAGTTCCATGATAATTTTCGAGATGTGAAATTTTGCTTTAAAGCCTCTGGAGGCCCAGGATATGCAGTTTAAAGCCCCCTGGAAGCCTCAAAAGTCTTGTTCCGCTCGAATGAATTTTTTCCAGCAGCATCTCCGAGAAAGACAGCGATTTATAAAACACGAGTCAAGAAAGCAAGCTTCATTAGCTCTCTTGATTCCCAGATTAAGCCTCAGAGGAAACCAGGCTCTGGTGGCTTGGCTCAAGAGAATCCCCGCATTCACTGAGAGATGCTGCTCCCAACGACAGGGCCGTTTACAGACAGGCACCTCGCCTCTTCTTGCTATGTGAGAAACCTCAAAAGGGCTCGATTTAAGAGGTTTGAAAGCCAAACCCAGGTCTTAAGGGTTTCGACCGAGATGAAATAGCATCCTTTATATCCCAAGTACGCTCCTGCAGTTTCAGTGGCAGGTACACGACCTGCAGGGACCCTACACCTCTGCAGGCTGGTGATGCTGAAAATACAATTACCCTCTGCCTGCAGTGCTTCTTTAGCTGCCGATTTCAGCAGCCACCTCACAGCAGCAGTTTTACCAAAGTATCCCGCTAGGTATCTTTTATTCGGGACGCTTTCTGTCGGTTTAGATAACCCCTTCATTTTTAAAGCAGTGACTCTGCCCATTCCAGCTGCACTTGGGCAGCCGGAGCAAACACTTTAACCCTTAACAGCACCGAAGACGAGAGGTGACCGGGCCTGCCCATTCCTCCTGCAGCTTGCGGCCGCGTTTCCAGAGGCTGTCACCCCACGGCCAATTTCACCTGCCACGCTCTGCGCATGAACACGCGCAGCCAAGGCTGTTGCGGTACCACCTCATCCCTTCAGCAGGGCATGAAACCATGGGACAGTTCTGCTGTTCTTCAGACTGCTTGTAGGATTTTAGCATCAGTTTGTAGGGCACGTGGGAGTCCCACGCTGCTGTCTAGGACTGCACAGCCCTTCAAACCCCTTTCCTAAGTAGGGCACCCAGTTACAACTCATCTAAATAGGTTTGTGTGTTAAGGCCACTGAGATTTTTCAGAGTGGTTTTGGTGAAGGTACAGTCCCAGATCCACAATGCTGTGCAGGAACCTAACTCCTGCTGCCTTCAAACACAAGAAACAGAGTAGGTAAAGAAGTACTTTTGGCTACTTTGGGCTATCCAGACTCAACCCCTGGCAATCAGTGCTGCACACTGCTCAGGGTGGTACAAGCCAGGGACTTGCAGAAAATACAAGGCAGTAAGAAATGGGTTCTTTTTATGTATCAGGCAAATCAGGAGCTGAGAGGCATCAGCCACCCTCAACCCTCCCAGACTCAGACTATAGCAAAACTCAGCTTTGAGGAGGCAGCGCTTTTTAAGGGTGTGGGAATGGCAAATACGCAGTCTCCATGGACAACACGCAATAGGACTTCTTTCTCCCTCAAGCTTGTGCCCCTTCAAAAACACGGTCTCTACCTCCAGACACCTATAGCTGTGGATGCTTTGCATGTGCCCTACACTTACAGCTGTGGATGATTTGCATGCGTCCATCCCAAACATCGTAGTTCTTAAACCCACAGTTATTTAGCAAAAATAAGGACAGTGACAACCACTCAAAGAGAAAACCAGGTGCCCCCTGCATCCCCAATATGTTCAGCCTTTCCAGTCAGGCTAAGCAGAGCAGCAGCTTGAGCCAGCAAAGCAGCAGCCTGCGCCCAGCCACTATGGGGAGGCACAGTACATCCCCCACCCTTCAACAGACCCCGGGCAAAGCAGTGGGTGAAGCAGAAGCGAAAACGATAGCAGTTTAATAAGATGATCAAACACTGGGAATCCTTTCAAATCCATGAAGTCATTAGCCAGGACTACTTTGCGCAACAGCTTCTCCCCTCCCGCTGTCACTTAAATGAGTGGCTTCACTGACCTGACCAGCTGTGTCGCAGAGCTGAAGTCTCACCGGCTTGCCATCGACAGACACGACAGCTTTGGAGAGAAAGGGGGAGGGAGGGGGGAAAGCGTGGTGAGTCCAACTTTACATGGTTGCCATTAAGGGGAAGGAAAAAAAAAAAAAAGGAAAGGAGATTTACCATCCCTCCGCTATAGGAGTCTTCTAATGGTTTCGATTTAACAACTTAACAGAGCCGGAAGGGAATCTCTCGCCGCCCCTTGGGCACACAGGAGCCCTTCAGGGCGTCCCGATTCACTTCGCTCAGGAGACGGGGCGGGCAGTGACCGCCCGACCCCTCCGCTGGCAGCGGGGACGGCGAGCCA